GATCCCACTACCCAAAGTACACCTTTGTCCCCAGAACCTACTACCAAAAGTATAACCTCTCCTTCACCTTCTACTACTAATAGACCTACTACTACTACTACCACTACCACTACATTGATGCCATCCTCAACTTCTACTACTGCTTCTACTATTACGTCTATTCTTACTACAGTCGCCACCCGTCCCCCATCTTTGAACTGTTCAAACGGTGGAAAAGAGGTGAATGGCGTCTGCATCTGTCCTGATGAATGGACTGGAGACACATGTTCAATTGGTAGGTTCTGCTGATGGACCATCATGAAATCTATTTTCCTTTCATTTAAAAATGTTTCAGGATTAGGATACATGGTACCATTATGTTGACATCATGGCAGGTTTAAGGAAAAAAAAAACATTTACTTAATAGACTCTATTCATGTAAATCCTGAAAAACAAATAGAGCAAGAATAAATGTGCCAAACCTAAATGACCATCTAAATGTTCATATAATATCTAATACAAATTGTTATCAAGAGGGTTAAAACATAACATTTCATGAAAAAGGTCCATCCATCCATCCATCCATCCATTATCTTTACCTGCTTCTTCCATTTTGGGTCACCGGTGTCACCAGTGCCCATGTCCAGCAATCACTGTGCGAGGGGCGGGGTACACCATGGATGGGTCACAAGTCCATCACAGGGCCACATAGAGACAAACGAGACAAACAACCATTCACTCTCTCACTCACACATAGGGACAATTTAGTTACCATTCAGCCTAACTTGCATGTTTTTGGTCTGTGGGAGGAAACCAGATGAAAAAGGTCAAGTCATTTAATTTAAAGCTAAAGCAACAAGCAAAGTTAGGATTAAATGTGGAAAAAACTGTAATTAAAAGACATGATCTGATTAATAAACTATTATTTTTTCCAAAATAAATATGATCTCACAACTTATATAACATAAAACATAAATACTATGAAGCGTTACCGGTTAGTACATGTGGTCTTTACTGCCAACAACAATCTGATAGAATAAACCAAAAACAGCAGGCTATACAGCTTCTTTAATAAACTCCACCCCTTTTTGGATAAAACGAAGCTCCGCCCATTTTTGGTGGAACTGACCCTCTATTTTGACTGGTGAGACATTAAATTAATCAAGGAAACCATTCTTAATATTTAAATCACAAAATAAAGCATAGACAAAATTTTAAGATACAAAACCTTCAGAAGAACTATCTGACAATATATTGGGAGCCTTCACTTGAGTGTAATCCTTTTGACTGTTATTTTGCTTCCATCTTTTGCCTGTTAAAAAGTCAGAGTGATGATTTGTCTGATCAAACAGGAAATTCAGGATCTTTTCTAATGCATTTAAGTAC